TTCTGTTGTAGATAAGGCGACAACTTTCTACAAGCAGGATCTCCAGCTCACTGTGTTGCCTCCAACTGTGAATACAAAACCAGTAATGGATCTCCTCCGATCCAAGTCAGTGGCGAAGTCTGAGTCACAATAACCTCTAACCTTGAAGTCTGAACCCTTTGAGAAGGTCAAATTCGTTCCTGAAGCTCCCTTTAGATATCTCATTATCCATTGAACTGCTAACCAGTGATCTTTTCCAGGTTTCCCCATGTATCTGCTCACCATACCGACGACATAAGCAAGGTCTGGCCTGGAGCCAACCATTGCATACATTAAGCTCCCTACTGCACTGGCATAAGATATTTGCTCCATCTCTTCTGCTTGTTCCTGCTCTTGTTTGTCACTTAACGCTTGTAGCTTGAAGTGAGAACCCATAACCGTTTGAACCTCTCTGCAATCCCACATCCCAAATGTTTTCAAAACCTGATGTAAATACGATTGCTGAGATAGGATTAGAGTTCCTTTTATTCTATCTCTGTAGATATCCATCCCTAGAATCCTTCTGGCTGCTCCCAAATCTTTCATCTCAAATTCTGTACTCAGTAGCTCCTTTAACCTCTTGACTTCTTTCTTGTTCTTAGAAGCCACCAACATATCATCAACATACAGTACAAGATATATCATGTTTTCAATGTTTGAGCCCTTGAGATACACACATGGATCAAACCCACTTTTTCTGTACTTTTGCTGAATCATGAATGTATCAAACCTGTGATTCTATTCCCTTGGAGATTGTTTTAAACCGTACAAAGATTTCTTCAATAAACACACTTTGTTTTCTTGTCCTTTCTGCACAAAACCCTCTGGTTGACTCATGTAGATTCTTTCATGTAGAATACCATGTAGAAATGCAGTTTTGACATCCAACTGCTCTAACTCCATATCCTGATCAACCACAGCTGATAACAACAGACGTATAGAAACATGCTTTACCACTGGTGCAAAAACCTCATTGTAGTCAACTCCCTCAACTTGAGCATAACCCTTTGCAACCAATATAGCTTTGTATCTAGGCTGTTCAACCCCTGGAATTCCCGGTTTTAGTTTGAAAATCCATTTACATCCGATAACTTTCTGATCCTTTGGTTTATCTGTCAGGTCCCACGTATGATTCTTATGCAACGAATCCATCTCCTCGTGAGTTGCACCATCCCATTTGTTCCAGTCTTTCCTTCTTCGAGCCTCATCATACGATTTTGGCTCATCAAGACTGATCGCCTATGCACTAGCAAGAGCATATGCGACCAGGTTCCCTTCTCTGTACCTTGCTGGCTTCTTAAGTTTTCTTCCATATCGGTTTATAGGCAAAGGACTCTCCTCTTGGTCATCTTCATTAGTGTCTTGATCCTCGTCTGAAGAACTCACACTTTCCTCTTGCTCTGACTCAGATTCTGAAATCGCTCCACCCTGACTAGAGGACTCTCCTTGTGTTACCTGAGTAGGCTCCACCTCTACTAAGTCTTCTTTGAAGGTAACCTTCTTCCTTTTAGTCTTAGTCACCTCAATCTGCGTAGAGTTGTTCATCTCTGAATCTTTATCTTTGAACAATTTCTCTTCATGAAAAATCACATCTTTGCTGATAGTAACCTTCTGCTCATCTAAAAGCCATACTCTGTAGCCTTTTGTTCCTTGTGCATAACCCACAAATATTCCCTTCGTAGCTCTAGGACTGATTTTATCAGCAATAGTATGAACATAAGCTAAGCAACCGAATCTCCTTAGATGCCCATACTCAGGTTTACCACCAGTCCATAAAGCCTCTGGTACCTCAAAATCAATAGATGCTGACGGAGATCTGTTGATAATGTAGACGGCCGTGTGTGCTGCTTCTGCCCAGAACTCTCCACCCAAACCTGTTTCACTTAACATGCTTCTGACCTTATCCATGATAGTACGATTTATTCTCTCAGATATCCCATTCTGCTGAGGCGTGTAGGGACATGTTTTGTGTCGCTTGATCCCTGACTCTCTGCACAGATTATCAAACTGATTGTTGCAGAACTATAACCCATTATCTGTCCTTAAACATTTCAGTTTCTTCTCAGTCTGATTCTCAGCCAACGTTTTCCAGTCAACAAACTTCTGGTAAGCTTCATCCTTTGTCTTTAGGAAATATATCCATACCTTTTTAGAGTAGTCATCAATAAACGTTAGGAAGTATTTATTTCCTAATAGGCTTGGTGTGACATTTGGTGAACCCCACATGTCTGAATGTACATACTCTAAGATGTCTTTTGTCGTGTGTTTACCCTTTGGAAAACTTTGCTTATGAAATTTTTCCATTGTGCAGGCCTCACAAAATCCAAGCTGTTTGACATCATCCTTCTTAAGATAGCCTTTTCTGACTAATGCTTCCATCGAAGATAGGCTCATGTGAGCGAGCCTTGAATGCCACCTTTTCGTCATATCCACATGTGCTTTTGCCACATTTACTTGAGGCACTCTTACTTTTCCTTGTAGAAAATATAATCCTTGATCATACTTTCCTGATAGAACCTTTCTGTCTCCTTTGTAGAAGTCAACTGTGAAGTTACTGCCACTGTATTTGCATCCTGATTGCTCAAGCTGGCCATACGAGATAAGATTCCTTCCCATATCTGGTATATATCGAACCTTGCTTAGAGTAATCACAGAACCATCTGGATTATCTATGGTGATATTACCTCTGCCTTTAACCATACAGTAAGTGTTATTGCCCATCAACACTTTAGTTTCTTCGCCTTCTTCAAAATCAGATAGTAGCTCTTTCCTTGGTGTTATGTGAAAAGTGCAACCCGAGTCTAGAATCCATTTGTTTTCTTCTGCTTGTAGACTCGCTGTTAGAGCTATAGGCTCAGGAAGTTTGATTGCCACATTTGCGGAATTGTTTGACTTGCCCTTTCTTTGTGGACAATCTTTCTTCCAATGATTTTCATCACCACAGGTCCAACATGCTTTAGGCCCGAACTTGCTCTTTGATTTTGACCTGTTTCTGCTGTTTCCTCTGCCTTTACTTTTGTTGTTTCTGTTTCCACGATTGCTTCGTTTCTCTGACCTTCCCCGGTCTTCAGCATACAACCCTTCAGCTCCTTGCTTTGATTTGTTTAGAAGTCTTTTTGCCTTTAACTCTGCTTCTTTTGAGTATGCAGATGACGTGACTTCCGCTACAGTCAATGTCTCCTTCCCTGAGCCATATTTCAAGGTGTGGACTAAGGGCTCATACAGTGGTGGGAGACTCGTCAGGAGCTGGATGGCTTGGTCCTCCTCGCTGATTGTGATCTTCAAGCTCGCTAGATCAGCAATGAGCTTCAAGAAGGTATCCAAGTTTTCTTCAATGGTACGATTCTCTTCCATCTTAAAACCAGCAAAACTTTGCTTTAGGTAGATCCTGTTTGGAAGAGATTTTGTCTGATAATCTCTTTCCAATGCCTTCCACATACCCATTGCAGTAGGTTCATGCATAATTTTCCTTAAGATTTTATCAGTGAGACATGTACCCAACAGATTTCTGACCCTCAGATCTTTATCTGCTTCCCTCGGATCCAATTTTAGATCCTTCATCACAGATGCTAGCCCAGATTTTGCGTCACCTGGCGTGATAATCCCTGACGATGCAGTCCCTAGAGTCACGGCCCCTTGAGTCACAGTCTCTGAAGTTGATGATTCTGGTGTAGAGGATGTTTCCTTCAAAACTGATCCCAAACCCTGAATCTCTAACTGCCCGAGAAGTCTGTATTTCCACATCCCAAAATCCCCTGTACCATCAAACTTCTCCATCTCGAACTTTCCTTGTGTAGGTTCCATGGTTGATCTTTTCTTTGTTTAACCTGTTACCTGCAGATAACAAAACCAGCAAAGAGAAAGAATCACTAGCAAACTGAACCTCACACGCACCGCTCAAGAATTTCAGAGAAGTAATCAAGAGAATTATGAGAATTATAACGCAAGTATCAGAGGATCAAAGAAACTTCCTGAGTTTGTTTGATCGATGATGACTAATCCACCTCCAGGTGATCCGATCGGCTTCACCAGTGATCGGTGAAGCTTTGCGATCGTCCGATCCTCGAATCGGTAAGATTCGAACCTCGTTGTCTTCTTTCCTCCATGAGCTGATCGCCTTAGTATCTCTTGAACGTTTCTAACCTACGCTCTGATACCACTTGTTGCCGATACTCTCGCAATCGATCGTTGATTCAACACCTTGAATCTCTCTCTCAACTCACTCGATTTCTCTCCTTGTGTTTAACAGAAAATAGAAAGAAGAAGAAGATGAAGACGCAAGTTTATAGAGTTCCCCAAACCGGGTACATCTCTCTTCAGGATTGATCCTGGAATCCACTAAGAGCTTTGTTCGAGTTACAGAGTGATTTCTCAGAAATACAACAATGGAGAAATCAGAAGAAACAAAGAAGATGACGAATTAGTTTGTTACGTCCGTTTCTCTCTCCTTCGTATCCTGTACTATGCAGTTGGGCCTGCAGCAAATCAATAAGGCTCAAATGCTTCTCTTCCTTTCATCTGATTTCCTTTTGGGCTTGTCTAACAACGAAGCCCACCTTGCTTTAATAATTGAATTAGGATTCAAAGTCCACATGATCGTATCTTCTTTTGTTGTCTACATATAAGTTTGCCTAGTTTTATCATGTAACAAGAATACTAAAAACTAAATAAATTCAATTGCTTAAAAAATGATGGTATGAAATAGTAATTTTTGCACGAAGATATATAATTCATGTTTAACGATGCAATAAATGGAAGGTTTGAAAATATATTAAAATTATTAATTTAATATGCGTCCTAAAATAAGATTAAATGAATGGAAATTAAAAATATGGAGGGCCTCGAACCCAATTATGGGCTCGAAAAGCCTCTAATACTGTGTATGTATATATGAATCTATAATTAGCATTCCGATCTAGACCACATTAAGTTAATTACATTCGTCACTCCTTTACTCAACTACTCTCTCTCTCTCTCTCTCAATGGATTCGGAGTCGGAGCTCATTTCACTAATTTCTCAACTGATCTCTCTCGACGACTCAACGGATCTAAATGGTTTTGATCCGGGTTCGTGGTTGAAGCTCATTACTCAGATAATCTCTCTCCTCCGATCTATAGATTTCGATTCGCCGCCGAAGCCGGATTCGTCGGAGCTCATATCACTCATCACTCAACTCGTCAACTCTATAGATTCGGATCCGGAGCTACTCAGATCACTAATTGCTGAGACATTGAGCCTCGAGCCGGAGCCGGTGCTCGTATCACTCATCTATCGAATATTCTCCGTCGTCGTCTCCATGTATTCAAATTCAGGGAGGCTTGTTTCCTTGTGCCCTCAAGCACAAGTTTATCAAGAAGAAGGAAAGTTTCATGTGATCGGTGAAGTCCCGTTGATGATGAGTCGCAACAACAAGTGGGAGTGTCTCCCTGACAGTTGGAAAAAACTAAGGTTAACAGATGACGTTACACATTTTCACTGCACAAATTGCAATGGTGAGAACCATGGAGAATATAAAAAGGTTCTTGTTGAGATCAAACACTCTCTTCATCAAAAACATTCTCTTCAGCTTGTTTGGTTTAACGAAGCTATGATAACCAGAGAATGTTATTGCTGTGACGAATATCTCAGAGAGTTTTTCTACTATTGCTTTGTTTGCGATTACGCCATGAATGTAGCTTGTGTGGAGAAACCGCAAGTCTTATCTATAGACAATCACAAGTGGCATGAGCATACACTTGCTCTGTTTCCGAGAAAGTCTTGCTTAACTTGCGACGTATGTGCCTTGTCTGATTCGAGCTGTCCTTTCTTTATCTGTCCTCCTTGTGACTTTGTTGTTCATCAAAGATGCATCAGCTTACCTCGTGTCATAAGGATATCTCGCCATCTCCATCGTATCTCTTTTACATTTTCTTTTGATCATCAAGGAGATTGGTTTTGTAGTGTTTGTCGCAGAAAGATTGAGAACGAGTATGGAGGTTATTCTTGCATCAAGGATGATTGTTGTTACGCGGCTCATTCAAGATGTGCCACACAGAGTAATGTGTGGGACGGTATAGATCTTGAAGGAGTGCCGGAAGAGGTTGAAGAAGACGATGTTGAGCCGTTTGTGACGCTAAGCGATGGGATCATTCAACATTTCAGTCATCAACATCATCATCTGAAACTTGATGAGGACACAAGTAGAGATTACGACGAGAATAAGATGTGTCAAGGTTGCGTCATGCCAATCTATTTCGGTAACTTCTACTCATGTACGCAATGTGATTTCATTCTACATGAAACGTGTGCAAATCTTTCTCGCAAAATACATCATCCAGTACATCCACACATGCTCACTCTAGTGGTAGGACATGGCGGTGTTACGGAAGGTCAGCATATTTGTTTAACATGTACTAGGTTGTGCGTAGCTGGTTTCTTCTACGAGTGCGGTAAAAAAGAATGTTATTTTAAGCTACACGTGCAATGCGCCACAGTCTCTGAGCCATTAGTCCATGAAAGTCATATGCATCCTTTATTCCTAACATCAAAACCAGGAGAGTATAGACAATGCTGTGTTTGCAAATTGTACAGTTCTACGCACACAAGAGAAACATTCAATTGCATTGAGTGTGACTTTGCTTTGTGTTTTAACTGCGCTACATTACCTCACAAGGTGAGGTATAAGCATGACAAGCATATGCTTAGTCTTTCTTATGGGGAAGAAACAGCAAGTACCCTGACCTACTGGTGTGAACTCTGCGAGAAAAGATTAAACATAAATGAGAGGTTTTATAAGTGTGATTAGTATTGTTGTGTCACCTTACACATTGAATGTCTCTTGGGGAAGGAGTTATACACGAAGCCCGGTTCATCATGGTTCTACTACAATAGGGAGGTCAGAGTTTTGGCTAACAATGAGCATATGTCTCGGCCTATTTGCTCCAATTGTGGGAAACGTTGTCCATAAAAGGTAGTTTTTCAGTTGTCTGGATCGATATTTTGTTCCAGATTTTGTTTCAAATTTCGTATTTGATCTTGTCTCCAAGAGATGACCAAATAGCTTGGAATATTTGGTCTCCGATTGTGTTATGTGAATAGTGTATATCATGAACATTGTCGTTTACATCTACTACAATTGAGAATATTTGTTTTTTACTCCTTCCGTTTTTTTTTTATTTAAGATATTTTAGAAATTGTTTTTTGTTTAAAAATAGTTAATGTTCTCCTATATTTATTTATATAAAAATTAATTATATTTTTATTATTTTAAATGTTTGAATTTTGTATATTATTTTTTATTGGTTAAATTGTTTTGAAACAATAAAGCATGTTTTACTTTAAAAAAATATAAAATTAAATAATTTTTTAATCTATATGTAAAAATTTTAAACATCATATATAAAAAAATAGAGGAAGTTTATATGAAAAAACGGAGGAAGTATTATGTTGTGACTTGTGGTACAAAAGCTGAAGCAAAATGTATATGATACTGTTAGAGATGAGATTTGTATCATATCTACAAGCCGACATGAAATCTGGTTGGCCCTATTTGGGAATTCAAAGAATACCTAGGTCGGCAAAATAAATGGAAATCTTCCATTTATTTTACTAGATTTGGGAAAAACGGAAGTTTATCCTTATCGGTGAGAAGACTTTCCTATTTTGAGCATACATGAAGACTGACCTTATCAGCTATAAATAGTGGAAGTCCTTAACTTCTCAAATCATCCAAAAATCTTCTTTCGAGACCTAGGGCAAACTAAGCAATCTTGTTGTTCTAATTCTCGATCTTGTTTCCATATAAACTTAGGTCGGCGTTCTTATTCTGACAACCTAAACCACCGTGTACCTCCTCAAGCTCTGGCTTATTCATAATAAAGAGCTCTCTTTAAACCCATAAACTCCTGTTCGTTCTTAGGTAGGATTTGAGTTTTTACAGTTGGTGCCGTCTGTGGGGAGTAAGAGACCAATCTTTAAAAATAACGAAGCTTGAAGATGGTTGAAACACCTATCAACCCTGGTACCACCGACCTCACCAGAGGACCCACTGATCCTACAGGGGGAGCTGCCGATCCCACCAGAAACACCCAGGAGCTGATCATAGACCTGGTCACCAGACTCCCAGTGGTCAACCAGACCGATCTGCAAGAAGACGACGCGGCTGCCATGCAGAACACCCGTGAGGCAGATCAGGTAGGCCAGACTGGTGGAACAAACCCGACTGACCTGCCACAGCCGCCTCCCATTGACATGGCCGGCCTCATCAGATTGGTCGCGGCACAGCTACAACAGGGCATGAATGCTCAGTTCGAGTACCTCCGCGCCGAACAGATCGCCTACCGAGAAGACCTAGATCGACTTCTCAACGCTAGGGTTCATACACAAAAACAGGCCGATCTGACCACGCTCCCACGCCGGCCGATCCGCAATGCAGAAACGACAAGACTGGTCAACAACCTGTTCGGCACCATACCGACAGACGACCTATAGAGAGCACATGTGGAAGGCTCCAACGCTCGCTTGTCCCGGAACACCACAAGTGCCGATCTGATGACGGCCTCAGAACTCGACCTTCTCCATCAACGCCTTGACGATATAAACATCAAGATCCATAAGGCGACAACCTCGGCACCAGAGTTGGAAAAAATCCTACAACAAACGCAGCAGACCCCGTTCACATTGGCCATCACTAAGGCTCCTCTCAAAGACATAGGCCGGATGAAGCTACCTCCAAGTTACACCAGCATGACAGACCTGAAGCGACACTTGACCGCATTCAACACAGTCATGGGACGAGCTCGCTTCACAGACAAAGAGCGGGATGCATGCCTCTGTCAATATTTTGTGGAGACGCTCTCCAGAAGTGCCCTCACCTGGTTTTCGCAGCTTCCTCCGAATTCCATCGACAGCTACAAGGCACTCACAACTCGTTTCATTAAACAATACTCGATCTACATCGACACAAAATCTACAGCGCTCGACCTATGGGCATGCGTCCAGGGCGACACAGAACCGTTGTGCGACTTCATCGATCGGTTTCGATCTATCGTTTCCCGATACAGCATGTCGGACGAGCTCTCCCTCAATATTCTCATCAGGAACTTGAGAGACGATCAGTCGTACTGCGAAAGATTGAAAACCGGGAAGACCATCCTAGAAGACGCCTTGCATAAAACGACCGGTTATATCAGGCTCGAAGAAGATAGGACAGCCAAGGCCAAAGTCAAGTTGGCCAACGAAAAATCATCGCACGATAAGTAACCCCGATCGTCAAATCAGGATAGCCACCAGGAGCCTCGACAGCACTACGATAAGGATGACAAGAGCCGCAAGAGTATCAACACCGTCGGACGACATACGAAGTGGAACACTTGGGATCGTCTGAGCGCCAAAGATCCAGATAGCAAGAAGATGTGATGCAAATACCACAAGGCGCACAGCCATCACACCGATGATTGCCGTACTCTCCCGGCCCTCTTGCGGAAGGCATGGAAAGATGGTGAGTGCACCATACCAGAGCCCCGAAGCCTAGCACGACGATGTGATGATGATCAAGACAGGCGACCTGACAGCGATCGACATAGAAGAGCCGATGCTGATCGTCAATCCACTAAACGCGAAGGAAAGGAAACAAAACGTGACCGTGAAGACGACCATACACCCCTAACTTCGCCTAGGCGACGGATCAACATGATTACAAGAGGAATCATCTCATGCACCGACTCTATCAATTCGATCAATCGGCACGAGAGAAAGGCCGCAAATCTGCCGAAGGATGCCCCACCAATGTTTAAGGACGACCTCCCGATCGTGTTCACTGAGCAGGACGCGCAAAATATAGACCGGCCACACAACGATCCGCTCGTCATCTCACTTCGACTCGGAGAAGACAATGTCTCGAAGATTTTAGTTGATACAAGCAGCTCTGTCGATCGGATCTTCATGGACACTCTACGGAAGATGAGTATCGCCAAAAGGGATATCCAGCTCGCGCCTTCTCCCCCTCACCGGATTCCCTGGAGATTCGATCTCTATGATCGGGACTATACGTTGCCCGTCACCATAGGAGGAAAGTCTGTGACAGTCAAGTTTAAAGTTATCGACCGACCTGCTATTTACAACGCCATCCTGGGAACGCCCTGGCTCAACGTCATGCGGGCCGTCCCATCTCCCTATCACCCGTGCATCAAGATACCGATCAGGAGAAGGATCTTCACCATTCGTGGCGATCAGACGACGTCTCGGCATTGTTACATCGACAAGCAGCGCGTTTGCAATGGTTCCACCTTCGTCATCGGCAACGACTTTGATCCGCGGATAGTGCATCATGAGAAGCTGAAAAGCGACCTCATAACTCAGATCAGCATTGACAGCGCTCACCCCGAGCGTTGCATCGGGATCGGCACGGAGCTCTTACCAAGCATGCAAGATGAGCTGATTGCTTTCCTTCGGAAAAACGTCGCAACAATCGCATGGTCGATGGCCGATATGAAAGGCATCAACCCTCAGATCACCGACCACGATTTATACGTTGATCCCACTTTTAAGCCGATCAAACAGAAGCGATGGAATTTAGGACCTGAGTGGGTGCAAGCCGTACATGACGAGGTCGATAAGCTGTTGAAAGCCGGATCAATCGCCGAAGTTAAATACCCGGACTGGCTTGCCAACCCGGTGGTGGTCAAGATGAAGAACGAAAAATGGCGAGTCTGTGTGGATTTCACAGACCTCAAAAAAGCCTGCCCGAAGTATAGTTTTCCTCATCCTCGCATCGATTAACTTGTCGAGGCAACTGCAGGAAACGAACTCCTCTCCTTCATGGATGCATTCTCAGGATACAACAAGATTTTCATGAACCTGAACGACAGTGAGAAGACCGCATTCATCACAGATCGCAGAACTTATTGCTACAAGGTTATGCCGTTCAGTCTGAAGAATGCAGGAGTCATTTATCAGCGCCTTGTCAATAAGATGTTCGCCGATTACCTTGAGAAGATGATGGAAGTATACATAGATGACATGCTCGTCAAATCGGCTAAGGCAGCGACCACATTGTTCATCTGCGCGAATGCTTCCTGATACTCAACAAATATGGCATGAACCCTGAGAAGTGCACCTTCGCAGTCACGTCGGGAGAATTCTTAGGGTACTTGGTCACTCAGCGCAGCATCGAAGCCAACCCCAACCAGATCTCCGCGATCTTGGAGCTACCCTCACCAAGAAATACTCACGAAGTTCAGCGCCTAACAGAAAGGATAGCCGCGGTGAACCGATTCATATCGCGGTCCACAGACAAGTGTATGCCCTTCTATCAGCTTCTACAAGGCAACAAGCGATTCGAGTGGGACGAAAAGTGTGAAGAAGCGTTCTTGCAACTCAAGATCTATCTCTCAACACCTCTGATCCCTGAACACGGCGACACTTTGCTACTTTACATAGCAGTTTCCAGTGCGGCAATCAGTGGTGTCCTGGTTTGGGAAGATCGCGGAGAGCAGAAGCCGATCTTCTACTTCAGCAAATGTTTGGACGGCGCTAAGCCTCGCTATCCAACCTTGGAGAAGCTCGCTCTCACGGTGGTCGTCGCTTCAAGAAAGTTGTGTTCTTATTTCCAATCTCACTCCATAGCCGTCCTAACCAGCCAACCTCTTCGGTCGATCTTGCACAGCCCGACACATCCGGGCGCATGGCAAAGTGGGCCATCGAGCTATCCGAATTTGATATCAAGTATCAAACACGGACCTCCGCAAAATCCCAGGTGTTGGCGGACTTCCTGATCAAACTATCACCTGAACTCTTGAATGCTGA